TGTTTCGTAGCACGTCGGCGTTGCGTGATAAGTGACGAACGCGGAAAGACAACAAAACAAAACGCCGGTCACAAATTAGAAGTACAAACCAAAGATTTGCAAAGAGAAATGTCGGAGGATTTCGATAAGCCAAGAGGAGACTGGTTTTCCTTTGCTAAAGTAAGGAAACTTTGCTTCTTTTGCTCCTATAAACAAACTCGTGAGACTAGCATATCTCAGAGGCGCGCTGCACATACATGCTGCGTCATCCGCCGGAACGCCTTCCGCGTATGACAGATAACAGAAGTGAGAGAAAAGTGTTTATTACGTTTGAAATATGGATATTTTTCTTACAAAAACGCATGGATTCACTACAGAAGGCCTTTATTCACCCCCGGAGCCGTGTGAGGCACGTTTTATTATGGATGCGCGCGCTTTATTTGACGACTTGTGGACTGTTCAACTGCAACACCCGCTGACTGCAATGATAGAGCTTGGAATTGCCAGGACAATTTTTAATATAACTCCGACTGGATTCGTCTGAAAGAAGAAAGTCATATACACCTAGGATGCTTTGAGGGTGAGTAAAACACAAGCCAATTTTCATTTTTGGGTGAACTAACCCTTTAAATAATTACAAGAACTATGGGACATTTTCATAAGTAATCCAGAGTCTGGGCCTTCATGAATTATTGACCAAGCAATCAGTTTTCCCAGTTATGTTATAAACCAGCTTTGCATGTGTGAACGATACTACAAAAGACCATTTTATAAAAAATAAAAAAAGAGCACATCTCATACCATCGCGTCTCCATGTTAAATTGAACCTCATTAAACTCTCAGAGCGTGAATGTGCTTTCGGTAAGGGTCGCGGTGATCACATCGTCATGTCAGGAGACAGACTTTGAACGGCCCTCGTGTCTGAAGATCTTAAACTCTGCTCATTTCCCAGCAGTGGCTGCTTTCAGAGGCTTCTGACTTTTAAGAGATTAGATATGGGAGTCGTGGAAGAGTGCTTGAATGCATTATGACAGCTGACCTTTTTTAGTTAAGAGATTGGGATTTGTAAGCAATGAGCGCTTTGCATTAACTCCTCATGTATCTGACATAGACAAATTGATCTGCTGAGAGGACCGCGATTAAAGAGCCCAGACCGAGCTGTCAGCTTTATGTTCACGTGCTGATTGTCATGTTTAATATATTTGTTCATTATTGTTAGTATTTATTCTATTGAATCCTTCTCATCCAAACTGTGCTGTGTTTCTGTGCTCAGAGAAGAGATCTGTCCCTAAGCAGTAATACCTTCATCAATAACATGATCGGACTTATTAGATGATTGCATTGCCTTCAGGCTAATTGAATACTTGATTCATCCTGCAAACAATCATTTCCTCTGTGTGCAATGTTCTGATTTACCAATAATGTTTCCTCAGTAAATTAGTCAGCCAAGAAAGATAAAAACACTTATGCTAATGAAAAAAAATGACTAACATTTACTAATTACCAACCTGTATAATCTTTCTGTAAAATTTGAATCAATGGATGACGTATTTACAAAGCGGCATACTTTAAGGGAGTGATTTGAGTGTTCAGCGTGATGGATTGATGAGAGCAGTCGCTGACGTGTGTTTGTGTGTCCAGGTGAAAGCGGCGCTTGATGAGATCCTTGAGAAGCTTCCGGAGGAGTTCAACTTGGCAGAGATGATGGGGAAGGTGGAGGAGAGGACACCATATATCGTTGTGGCGTTCCAGGAGTGTGAGCGCATGAATTTCCTGACACAAGAGATCAAACGCTCTCTAAAAGAGCTCAGTCTAGGCCTGAAGGTTAGACACACACACACATGCACATACTACTGTACATAAACACACAGACACACACACACACACCTGTAACTGAATGGCTTGCTGTTGTACTGAGTTTCCAAGCCCTTTTGTCTGCTGCTGTACGGATCTCATCACCACATCAAATGCTGATCAGGTGGCTGAATGATTTTTATGCCATATTATTAAAATCTGATATGCAGTCAGTTATTGCTTTCTTTGCACACCTGCTAGAATGACACATCCGTCTCTTTCCTGGTGCTTAGTAATGGCAGAAATTAAATCGCGAGCGTGCCGGCGAGAGATCGTGTTGCTCTTTTCAGACCTATTTTAACTGCATTAAACCCCTGAATGATGGTAAGCCTTATGAAGAAAAGACAACTATTAACTAACGCAGGATTCTGGCCTTGGCAGATTCAACAGGGAGTCACTGAGATGATTTCCATTACTGTGGATCACCTACTGAAACGACTGAAGCCCTTTATTGTGTTGTTCTGTGACACAACATGGGAAAAAAATCTAAATTATTCACATATTCCTGCATATGTTTGGAGCCACGTTGCATTGTGGGAAATATTATGCTATGAAAACAAAAGAATGAAAAGACGGCAATGTGACACTGAGATTTATAGATGAGAGTAAACACATTTTAGATGCATCTTTATGTTTTTGCTTCATATATATTCATATTCAGCTGTGACTTTTCCATTAAAAAACAATTATGCTATATGGAGTGTGAAAAAAGTCTCTGTCATTTAAAGGGCTCATGTCATGAAGAATCACATTTAAATTCAAAACGAAAAAAACGAAGCAGCAAAATCAACTCTCAAAAGTCTGTTTGTTTACATTAGCACTGAACATTTTCAAGGATGCCTGTTGATTTATTCTGTCCACTTATGACTGAAACTGTGACTGTTTTAAGCCACAAAAAACACTTGACTAACATCTTTCATCTCAGGACCTCAAAAATGTATTATATATTACCCCATTTAAAGTTTTTTCTTCAGCTGAATCATTGTAAAGACCTCTACCTGTTTTATGTACTTTAAATGACAAACACTAGAAGATCGTCTCCGCACATGACAATTCATTTCCCAACAGAGCAAGGCTACGTTCATGATTTTTTTTATTACTAATCATTTTATTTGTTATTTAGGATTTCTTTTTTAAACTGAACATTTAAAACAAACACATGTACATGTCCTCACTTGAATCAGAAATGATCAAGCCGCACTGATTCTAGGCTGACCCATATGTTTTTCTCTCTCAGGGCGAGCTCACAATGACCAACGACATGGAGAATCTCCAGAACGCCATCTACCTGGACCAGGTGCCCGAGTCCTGGACCAAACGTGCCTATCCGTCCGTATCCGGTCTGGCCATCTGGTTCACGGACCTCCTGAACCGCATCAAGGAGCTGGAGATCTGGACGTCTGACTTCTCCCTGCCCTCGGTGGTGTGGCTGGCCGGCTTCTTCAACCCACAGTCCTTCCTGACAGCCATCATGCAGTCCATGGCTCGTCGAAACGAGTGGCCGCTGGACAAGATGAGCCTGCAGTGCGATGTGACCAAGAAGAACCGCGAGGACTTCAGTTCGCCGCCGCGAGAGGGAGCCTACATCCACGGCCTGTTCATGGAGGGCGCTCGATGGGACACGCAGGTCAGACTCGCTGTTATTGGTTTTGAGAAGAAAGAGTAATATAGTGAAGTCGACAACGTGTCGATTGTAACTGTCTGAAATGAGAGCGAGTGTTAAAGCTACATGACAGTTAGTGAAGACGTCTGTACAGCGAAGTGAGCACTCATAATGGAGGATGTGTAGTTTTGTTGCGGGACCGCAGTGACAGGCTGTTTGCAGCATATTCACACTTCACTCCAGTCCATTTCATCTAGCAGCAAATATTTGTGAAAAGAGCAAAAGCACAGAACAATTTAACACTAATCACACTGAATTTTTCTTCATCTTATCATCACATTACAACCTTTCCCTCTGTCCTTGTGCTTCATAAATGAATTACTGCAAAATTGTTTTGTAGAGTAGATAGTGGGGTAAGATGTGCCAGTAGGTTTGCTGTCACCGCAGACCGTGAACAGACCCATAATATACAGCTGCATGCCATTCAAATATATATATATATATATATATATATACAACAATAATGCAAAAAAAAAAAAGTACATTTTCTACATGGCACATAAAATTAATTTTATGTACTAAATTTGTTAATTGAATGTTTAAAACCATATAATTAATTTAATGATTAATTATTGTGTCATGCGTCTCAGTGTTTAACTGATTGTGATAGTGAGCTTTGACTTCAAATATAGGATATACTAGGAAATGGTTAATATTAGAAATGTTATTAGAAAATAAACTTTTTTAGACTACATTCACGTATTCTAAATATAGATTTTCTTGTCTGATTCATGAAAATGTGTACAATGTGGAAAAATAAATTCTTAAAGGGGTCATATGACGTTGCTAAAAAAGAACATTATTTTGTGTATTTGGTGTATAGATAGGTAGGTCAATAGATAATTATTTATTTATTTAATGACAGCTATCCTGTCCATATTTCTGTCAATATTTCTATGGCTGCGTCTTCTAGAAGCTTGCCAATCAGGCACATTAATTTCATATCTTTTCTCTTTCTCTGGAGGTCAGGTGAAGTCAGTGAAGTAAGCAGTGACACAGCGAGCTCCTCTATGCACAGATGAATCGTTCATGAATATTTTACTGCATCTGTAATATTAACTGGCTTAAATTCACACTGACTACATTGTCATGAAAAATTAAACAGGAGTTTTAAACACTGACCAGCATTTCTGATGAATGAGGCAGTGGTTTCTGCTCATTTAAATCCAAATGAAAACGAACATTGGGCTGATTTTATTCCCCGGTCTTTGAAGAACCCTAAAGGAGCATCGACATGTAGAGCGTCACCTGAGATACTCCAGCTGAGACTATAATGACACCAGCTGGATATTAACCAGCATTGTTTGCTTAATTTACCAATTGATTTGCTTAAATTAGTTGATTCTGAGAGCTGTCACTTTAACACTCGCTTACACAGGTCTGCAGAAACACACACACACATGCTTCAGCACAGACCCACAACAAAGAGTCTGTTTGCCCCATTAGCGCTCTAATGAATGGAAATGCATGCGGCTTTCTGGTAATGTCTCTAAAAACCAGTTTTAATTACGCACAGGAAAATTTTAATCACTGCGCCCCTCGACTGTTTTCCGCCGTACGTCTTCGATGAACTTAAACTTAGATTCAGGATGCCTTTTGCCCTTTGGGAAAAGCTATTCCAGCTTATCCGAGTGTGAAAGCATATAAGCGGAGATGGGGGTTCTGGCCTCATTTATATGAATGAGATTTAACACCTATTGCGACGACATCAAACACATAGGCATATACATGATGGCCCATATACATAACATTATTCTTATCGTATAGTTATCATATGGCTTATTTCTGGAGATATTCTCTTAGCTGATGAATTAGTGTAATCAGCTTAGAGAGTTTTAAAGAGACATAAGTTTTCAGGCCCTGTAGAAGATCTAACACGCACGAGTTCCTCTAAACGTGTGCTAGATGTGCAAGGACGCCTTCAGTGTTTTACTGACTTTATTTATTCAAAGAGTCGTAAAACTATCAGTATTTAAAAGCACAATAAACTTTTACTGCAGCCGCGAGACAATTAGAGTGAAACCATAAACAGTGTCCTCTGTGGAGCACTGCAATGTCAACATTATTTGCATTTGTCCCTTTAATACTTGCAATCTTTACTCTGTTTGTGGAGCAGAAGTGGATTAATGAATTCATGAACTAGCCGATGAAATGTCCCGCATCTGAGCTCCTGCAAGTTTCCCTGTTCAGAGAGACTGTGGTGTTACTGCAAGAGTTTTCAGTTTAGTGAAGGACAATTCAAACTTTCAAGATAATTCTGTAATACTGTCACCACCAACAGAAACTCAGTTCAGTTCAATTGGTGTTTTTTTTTTGTTCTGCAAACATGGAGTCTCGTTATAAAAATGTTAATTAATTAATTAATTAACATTATGAAACACATTTAAGCATTCAAATCTGATTTGATGAGCCACATTTAATTTATTTTACCAAGTTTCTATATTAATTATATTACTAATTCTGATTATTTTTGTCAAGAAATGTATGTATTGCTATTATCAATAAATAAACCTATTAGTGTGTTGTATCACCAAACACACCTTTCCTGTGCTGAAATCATATCAAATCATTATCATATAATGGATAGTTCACCCAAAAATGTAATTTCCGTCATTAATTACTCACCCTCATGTCGTTCCAAACCCATAAGACCTTCATTCATCTTCAGAACACAAATTACGATATTTTTGATGAAATCCGAGAGCTTTCTGACCCTGCATAGACAGCAATGCAACTACCACGTTCAAGGCCCAGGCCCAACCATTTCTTCACGTGGACTGTTTTAATGATGTCTTTACTACCTTTCTGGGCCTTGAACATGGTCAAACGTTTTAATGGAATATTGCAATGAATTATAAATCATTATAATTTATTCATGCACATCATTATATATATATATATATGTGTGTGTGTGTGTGTGTGTGTGTGTGTGTGTGTGTTTATTTGTGTGCCCTCATAGTGTTTAATCAAACAGTAATTTTCCCTGTGTTCAAAAAGCAGTTTCACTCAGATATACGTCACATTTCATGCTGATATGTAAAAGATCTTTACTTCATATAAATACAAATATGAATATACAGTATATGATAATATGAGCACATGAAAAGCATATGTTATATTGAAATAATAGCATGTATGCCATTATATTATGAACCTCATATTATGCAATATGTTTAACTGGTGATTTATCACCTAAGGTTTCTTTTAATATTAAATGTCTCTTGAAATGAATGATGAAAACTATGATCCTGTAATGTTTGTGTTTTAGGCTGGCATAATGGTGGACGCTCGTCTGAAGGAGCTCACGCCCACAATGCCGGTGATTTTCATCAAAGCCATTCCTGTGGACAAACAGGAGACCCGCAGCCTGTACCAGTGTCCCGTCTATAAGACCCGACAGCGTGGACCCACGTACGTCTGGACCTTCAACCTGAAGACCAAAGAGAATCCGTCCAAATGGACCCTCGCTGGAGTCGCTCTGCTGCTTCAGATATAAAGTACCTGCTCGCATTTCACCGATGACTTATTTGCTATTCATAACGCCAGAACGCGTGATTTCATGACACAGCACCTTTTTTTTAGTTGCATATAAAGTTAGTTTTAGTTGTCAAATGTTTGCACAAACACTATGTGCCATGCAGTTAAATTAAAAGCACTTTGATGAACCGGTTTTATATTTGTTCAGTGTATTTTTCTTTCACAGATTTGTGTGACTCTGCTCTACTTCTGTTCGCTCAAGTTTAAAACAGGAAGCCTACAAATCTCAGTTCTATCACATTCAAACATGTCACCCTGAGAAAGCGTGGCGTCGGTCTGAAGAAAGTGCAACACCTCAGTGAATCCGCCGCCGCGGCAGCGATGAGCCTCCAGGGTCACTTATATCTGTTATTGAGAAAACTTAACAACACGTACAGAGACTGAGTTATGAAACGGGGCCACGGGGAAACAGAATATGTGGAGAAAAGCAATAAATCCATCCTGAATCCAATTACAAAGCACCGGCAAACGGAGCTTCATGTGACACACAGCTTCTGCCGTGCTCTTTATATTCATTACTCTCGTGTCCCGGCGTAAGGGATAGGAGACAAACGTGTTAAAGATATAAATATGAAACCGACACGAAATGTAAGGGAACCTTCTTTATTTGTTTGTGTTCACATCGGTTAAATATGATTAATGTGCTGCTTGTTTATTCGTTCCAGCACGGCAGTAAAGAGTGCACTTTGTTCTCTGAATTTTACATTTGCATTTTTTTAAGCGAATATCAGCGCTTGTAAGGCATCAAAAGAGACGCGGGGAGTTTAAGGTGAGGTTTCAGGCTTTGGTTCGGCATCATTGAAACGCTGCATCAGAGAAGCTTTACATGTGTCAGGAGTTAGAGAGACGATGATTTCCGTGAACGCTTGCAGAAAATTAAGTATGTGAATGCTTGGATATACTTGGATTTCTGAACAAATTGGTCATAAAATTTGATCTGATCTTCAGATAAATCACAACAACCAAACGTTTTCATGTATTGTTTGAGCGCACCATGAGAAACAGAATGTGAATCCTGAGGCGAATGACTTAAACAGTCCAATCAAAGAGATGCTGTTCACAAATGTTAATGTGAATCATGCCTCAAACAAAAGACATTTACATTTGGACGTTTCAAATATGCTTTCATTGAAAGAGCTTGCATTGAGCATTTTAATCGTTTTTTTCCCCCTTCAAAACCAAAGATCACTTAAGCTTAATGTTGACTTGCATAAAGATGGAAAGTGTTACAGAAGCACCTCTACAATCCTTGATATTCACATTAAAACCAACCCAATCTCATGAGACGCAAAGATTTGGACAACATGGAGGAAAATGTACAATAACCTGTCTAGCAGCTGAAGCTCCTTGGACGTTGGGTGACGCAACGGAGAAAAACCCAAATCAACAGCGGCTCAATCCTGACCTGTACACCAAACATATGAGAATGTTTCTGAGTTTAAAACCGGTTTCTAAAGAGAAATGCTGCTAAATCCCTTCTGAGCGTGTGCGGGTCTGATCCAGCATTTCATCAGAAGTCTGGTGGAGGTTATTGCTGCCAAAAGGAGGATCAGGCTGTTATTAAATTAAAGTTATTAAGGATTCACATATTTTTTTCCACCCTGAGCTGTGACGGTTTCCTCAGTGTGTTCAACACAGACCTGAAAACAGCGTTGTGTGTGTTTGTGTGTGTTCATGGTTGTGACTGAGCTGAAGATCGGATCATTAGGGCTAGGAATGTTTTCTGGTTTATTTCGAAGCCATTAAAGAAGAAAATCTGGTTTTCTCCTCAGATTGCTTTTGTATTGATTGTGGATATCAGCTGAGGAGATCAGACCGAAGGCTGCAGTGCTTCAGACATGCAGGGGTTTTTGTGTCACATACATTGGCAGCTGTCCATGATTAAATGAAGGCTAAATTGGTGAAAGCAATTAATCAAGTTGGTCACGATACAGCTGATTATACAGTGTCGGAACTGCTGCCAAATCAATGTTAAAGAGTTCACTAAGGTATGGCAGTTTCTATTATCTTAAACTCTTTCTTTATTATCTTAAGAAACTTTGTTTCTTGCATTTTTCTCACAAGCAACCGAATTATGACATTTGCTTTATGACACTGAATACTTAGAAGGCCTTTCAAGATCCATTATAATAATAATAATACTAAAGTAAAAATCCACAAAGGTATCATAAAAGTCTAAAGTAATATTATAGCTTTGTGTTTCAATGATTGAAAATGCATTCATTCTTTTGAGATCATATTTAAATTTGCACACAAACAAATGAGATTTGAGGCCTGTGGCAATGGACAGGACATTCAGTGTGATTACTATCATATGGCTTCAGTAAGATTTGAAAAATACATTTGTCGTATGGACTATATTTAAAGCGATAGTTCACACAAAAATGAAAACTACCCCTTGATTTACTCACCCTCAAGCCATCCTAGGTGTATATGACTTTCTTCATTTAGACAAATGTAATCAGAGTTATATTAAAAGGGTCATATGATGCTTTTTTAAAGATCATTATTTTGTGTATTTAGTGTAACAGAATATGTTGACAAAGGAAAACTTGAAATCGCATCATATGACCCCTTTAATAAATGTCCCGGCTCTTCCAAGCGTTATAATGGCAGTAAATGGTGATCAAGATTTTGAAGCAAAATAAGGTGCATGCATCCATCATAAAAAGTGCTCCACACAGCTCCGGAGGGTTAATAAAGGCCTCCTGAAGCAAATCTATGCATTTATGTAAGAAAAATATCCATGTTTAAAACTTTATAAACTGTAATCTCTAGCTGACTGTCATACGCGCGTTCATGAGAGAGTGTCGTTCCAGCAGATGACATAGGATGTAGGCGTAGCGTAAAATCCAGTAAGAAGTGACGAACACGGAAGTGCAGAGGAGAGAGCAAAACAAAACACCGGTCACAAATTATAAGTACAAACTGAGGATTTGTAAAAAAAATAAATAAAAAATTATGTTGGAGGATTTCGATATAAGCCAGGAGGAGACTGGTTTTTGTTTGTTGTAAACAAAACTTGGTTCTCACAAGATTAGCATATTCTCACCGGAGCTTACGCTACGCCGACATCCTATACGTCATCCGCTGGAACGCCACTCTCTCGTGAATCTAAGTACGACAGTTAGCGGAAGCTAGAGATTATGGTTTATAAAGTTTTAAATATGGATATTGTTCTTACAGAAATGCATCGATTTGCTTCAGGAGACCTTTATTAACACCCTGGCGCACTTTTTATGATGGATGGATGCACTTTTTTGGGCTTTAAAATCTCGACCTCCATTCACTGCCATTCTAAAGCTTGGAAGAGCCAGGACATTTTTTCGTCTGAGTGAAGAGAGTCATATACACCCAGGATGGTCTGAGTGTGAGTAAATCATGGGGTAATTTGAACTATCCCTTTAAGGTTGTTTCTGGCTCTTTTAGATGCAGTGTCTTAACAACTAGTCTGACCAACTAGCAGTTACTAAGAGGTAATGAGTTTTTTATTTATTTAAATTAGACCAATCTACATTTTTACACCACCGGCTTAAAAAAATAGATGACTAACTTGTAAGACTAGTGTAAGCATTGCAACCAGCCCCTGATCACTTTTATTTTATGGCCTGAACATTCAGCCTGTTCCATAAAGAAACTCATACAAGTTTAGAACGACATGAGGGTGATGAAAGTGGTCATTTGTGATGACCTATACACTTAAAAATCAAATATTTTATTTCTAGACTACAGTAGCATATAATGTGGATTTCTTTTCAAGAAGAAGTTTCCATCAAAGATCATCCTGTCCAATGGCGTCGGTGACTCAGAATCATGTAGCCTACAGTCAGAGTCCGCTTGTGAACATCTGCGCCCAGCAAGCAATAGCCGTCATTTCACCGTCTCGGTTAACTATAGACCCGATATAGTCCGGCTATGTGTAACCCACTTCTAGCCAAAATAACCTTGAATTTGGTTTTATGTAGTTTTTGCCAAAACAACTTGCGAAATGTATGATATTCCATCATGTAAGCAAAGTCAACAGTGATTACAAGGTGTTTGGTTTCATTTCTTTGACATGTTTAATGCGTAGCCTCGACTTAGCTCATAGTCAGACCGGCTATTTGTAGCCCACTGATTTTTGGCAACTAGTTTTTGGTCAGGCAGCGCTTGAGATGGTTGATATCCCATCATGTTCGCAATGTCAATAATATCTACAACACTAAAGTGTAATTTCATGACATAGTCTATCTGTAGCCACGATTTAGCTCTGAATTGGACGGGCTACGTGTAGTCTGATTTTAGCCCATGCACCCGGCTAAATCGAGGCAATCAGTGGTCTAATTTTAACGCCTATATTAGACCAGCGATGAGTATAGCCAAGATAGTCTTAAAATTGTTTTTGGGATAATATTACCAAATGCAAGTAAACTTTTGAAATGTTTAAATTATTTTTGCTGTCACAAATAACATTCATTATATTATTTGACTGACTGTGTTTCATTTTAAGTTAGGCTAAATAAATAAAAAATGCAATTACAATTCTCAACCGCTAGATGGCAATTGTAGCCCTACTGAGACATGACTACTGGCAACGTGAGACTTGAAAGTCCGCAAAATCACTGCTGCAAGATTCCGCGATAAACATTTCCGCGAGAGAGAGCATTATGTTTACCTGTCCGAGAGCAACAAGCAAACAACAAACGTTAAAGGACATTCTTTTATTGTTTGGTATTGTAAGTATCCGTGTTTTCGTTTTGACGTGTTCATTGTTCATCTATATTACTTGTTATCATGCGTAGGAACTGTGACAATTTAGCGTAGGTGTTGAGCGGATTGTAGTTGATCAGTGATCTGTACGGACGAAGCCCCACGTTTCGGCATGCGTGTGTTTATGTGTGATTAATTGCAACATTTAACCATAATAGAGTGAATGTTTATCATTTGTAAGTGTTTACACACTCAAGCAATTTTAAACCATTCCAGCACAAGAAGAGGTGAAAGAGCAAACCACTAAACACAGCTTTGACAAAGATGAATCTAGATTTAATTTATACAGCGAACACACTCAGAAGAATTGGGCAAAGAGTGGAACCAGACTCTGTGTTCCACTGAAGAGGAGTTCCAAAAGTGAGCAGCTCCGGGCAGCAATGGTAAAAAAAAAAAAAAAAACA